CGCTCACCCTCTGCGAACATACTAGGGAAAGTCTCGGGCGACGCGCATGATCTTCCGTGTTCATGACCCTGTGGCCACATGGAGAATCAACGCGCGTGGGCACTGGGTGGGCGGACGCTACGCTTCTCCCATTCAAAGTTCTTCCACTAGCGTGGTGGCTCTCGACGCTCGCATGCAATATGTGCAATATGGTACCGAAGGAGATAGCCGGGGCGCTGTCAGCTCGAGTGAAGAACGGACGGGCTCCAATCTGCCACTTCAAGTCGAAAGTTTCTCAGTGCGCGCAATGGCACTGCGTCGATCGTTGGGATCAGTTAGTGGACAATCTCTCATTGAAAGGGGTAGATCGAAGAAAAAGCAACGACAACATACAACCTGACGGATCTGTCCGGTACCTGCTCCAAACGCAACTTCTGTGCAGCTGCTCCATTTCTGTGCTAATTGTGGGTATGCAATGTTGTCTCACTCCGGCGAGAATAAGGGAATGAAACACACAATCCCTCCTTATATCCACCGCTGCCTTTCCTACGGGTACGCGCGCAACATATTCGCAAGAAGCCCGAAGTGTGTTTTCGGGGTTCCGAATCTTAGTATGTACTACGTCCGAATCCCTTGCTTAGCACCTGATGGCTATATATAATGAGTATGCGCTCACTAGCATCACTACAGCACGGTTCTCGTCCTTGAGGACGCGCATTTTTCGGAGTTTCAGCATCCGCCTCGGGACCGCGATGGTCAGCATTCTCAGGGCACAGGGTGAGATGCGCCAATACTCATGGTTTCTCTGAACACCTCCTACTGCCAACGTCAGCTGTCGACCAGCCATTGCGTGGGGACAATCCCAGTAAAGTTTCGGGGTGCCTTTGAACGTCGTCTGCGGCAGCACATGGCCGCCGTCACGATCTCGCCGCGCATACAGCGTTGTTGACAACTACTGTCAGATAGGCGGCTACAACGTCGCCCGCGCGACAGGAATATCTGTTGGCTGGTCGGGTCGCGGCCTCGAGGCTCCAGGGCCAAGGCTATTCCCACCTCGACTGTCGGTAGGTTGGCAGTGAGGTACGCTGGCTAGTATGCAAGCTGTGCTCGGTGTGCCGTTGGGGGCTAGGAAAGTTCGGGAGCGGAGCATGGCTGGTGCATGTACAGGAAACAGGGCGGATTGGGCGATAGGGAGCGCATCTCAGTTGGATCGGGAGCGCAGTAGCATCACCGATCTGGATCTTTGGATCACCGATTGCGATTCCCCTGAGAGTGGGCTCAGGAGACGCCGAATGTGGCATCTGGGGAACGGAGACCACGCTCGCCGCGCGCCCGGATCTGTCGCTGCATGTGCCAGTGAGAACGACCACGGCATCTAGCAGACATCCTCCATGCTCGCACACAGTTCCACTCCTCGAAAAACAACTCATCTACCATATTTACAATGCCGAGGTCGACATCGATGCCACGACAGCCCGGAATGGAAGTAGGCAAGGGGTAACAATCCTGCTATAATCACCAAGGCGCAGCGAACACTGATGCCGTGTGATTCCTGATAGTTACTCGACGCTAGGCCAGAACAGGTAGTAGGCATGATATGGGTAGATGAACTCTCAGCAGCAACAAGACAATAAGCTCTAACCATGCGCGGCTCCCTAGACCATTTCTGCGCACCCCCCTCTTCCCCTTCTGCCAGCGCAGGTCGCCCGACATACCTCCTGCCCGCCTGTGCTATCCTATTGGCCTCAGAGCTTGCGGCGATCAATCGTACGTACATCGTCCTGCCGATCAAGTACACAGTTGCTCATGAGCAGCGCGCCTCCGCAGCGAGAACGCGTCGCGTCGCGATACGCTCTTATTGTCTTTGTACTGACCCCTCCGCACGTTCTCATTTCCCCGGTAAGTCATCCGATCTCGGGTCTTCTCTCCGGCTTTGTCCTGATCAAGATACCGCTGTGTGGGGCATAAGCTACTCTCAGAGTAGCCAATACAGGCTGCAAACCTGGCTCCTCGTCCTCCCCCCTACACGGGGCGCTCCACATTTTCCGTCACTGAGATGGCAGTACCCTCCGCACTAGCTGGCGACTTCTTGGTATGTATGCTCCTTGTGTATTCAAATCAGAGTAGCTCATATCTTGTAGGCGGGCCCCGGCACAGGCTCCCTCGGCGGACCTCCAGTGCAACACGTACGTTGCGCCCATGATCAGAGAACCTTCGTGCGCTGATAGCGGGTCTGTAGAATTACAAACGCGCTGTGTGCAGAGCACCCCCTGCTCTGTTCGATGTGGACGTACTACCTCCAACCAAGTTTGGTGAGTTGTAGCTATTGTGCTTGAGCGGACAACTTCTGACGGTAACAATGACAGGGAGCGGATATTGCTATGGCTTACGCATCTTCCCCATCACAACGGGAGAGGTGCTCGACGATATGTCGTCGAACAGGTCATCCAGGTCTTCCGGATCAATGCATACGGAGTACGACATCTGGCGTCGATGGGAGGACTGCTTGTGGTTCCAGGATATCCTCGAGCAGGAGTACGCACTCATGGCGCGGCAGAAGAGAGCGCGGCTGGTGGCGGGCAAAGGTGTGAAGAAGAACGGGATGTACATCCACTCTGACGAGGCCGCGTCGTTCGATAGTCTGCCGCCTGGCCCAGAGGCCAACAGCATCGCGAAGGACATTCACGAGATCGTCCCGAAGCTCACGAAGAAGGGCACATTCTTCAAGGCGAGCCAGGCCACGATCGAGCAGCGCGGCAAGGAGTTCAAGGCGATGATAGATACCTTGTGGGGAGAGGATGTCCCGACGTTGGTCAAGGAGCTCAGGGAGACAAGGCTCGTCCGCGACTTCTTCGGATACTGGAGGAGAGACAAGGATCACGACCGCAAGATTGCCACACATGACAACGGTGATGCTATGAAGAAGTCTCGAAGCTCGCTCTCCATGTACTCTCGAAGCTCGCTCACCCCGAACACTCTGTCCATGTATTTCTCCCCTTCTACCGTTGACCTCTCACATATGCCGGCTTCACCTGCCTCTTCCAATCATTCCACTGCGCAACCCCCGCGTCCCTCAAAGAGTCCGCAGCTAGAGCACGCACCATATGATACGACTGCGTCTTCCAGCACGGGTACATCTCCTATCGCTCGCTCACCAATCACGTCGACGCCTACCGGCATGCAGTTCTCCATATCCAACCGTGGGTCGGTGACTCCGCAACTTCATACGTCGTTTTCCGACGATGAGAGCTCAACGAGCCACCGCTCGATCTCCTCCGCACGCTTTACGCACAGCCAAGCCAAAAGAGAATCGAAGGTGTCCTTCGGCGAAATGCCCATCGTATTCATGCCGGACGGCCAGCCGTGGTCGGAGTCGGCGATCTATGGGCACGACCGACACGCTGGCTTGCAGTCTCTCCCTGAGGACGAGGAACTAGTGGCCAGCATGGATGGCCTTGACATGTCCGGCTCGCCGCCGCGCGCCGTTCCTCTGCGACGGGCGCGCAACAAGTCGCTTCCGAACCCGACGAACCGGAACTGCGTTGTCTTCTCGCCGACTCCCGAAGAGGACGCAGAAGAAGCGGAGTCAGGACAGACGACGGTGAGCTCGTCACGCCCGCCGTCTATGGCGCCATCGATGTTCTCAGACTTCTCGGGTGCGTCGAGCTGGCGCAGCTCGTTCGCGTCCGAGTCGAGCATCGCGACAATCTCAACGAGCCTCCCGCGCGAGTCGCGTCGGTCGTTTGACACGGATTCTTCGGGGTCGATCTATTCCCAGGGGTCGACGTATGGCCATGGCCATGACCATCGTGCATCCGTCGCGACGATGAACTCTCTGGTATCTGGGTTTTCCGTGGATGCGGTGCTGCCCCACGTGGGCAGCGTGAAGCGTCCGAAGAGTGCTGGGAGGGCACCGAGCGCGCTGTCGGGTGGACCCATCTCTGCTGACGACATGTACAACTATGACTACGAACACTCTGATGATCTCATTGACGCATACTTCTATGGTGAGTTGGTCTGGGAGCTGACGTGTATGCGGTCTTGACTGACGTCTTGGTAGATCCCGCCTTGCAAACACCATCCCTCGTAGACTCCGCCGTCTTCCTGACAGACCACACAAAACACCAACAACCGACCAAGGAAATAGCCCCTCCCGAGCGATTCCCCAAACCATTCCAGAACCGCCCACCTGGGCAGTTCCACCTCCCCTGGTCCGTACCCAACTCCCCCGACGCCCTCGTCTCTAGTGTCAGCCTGTCTGCCACCTTGACTTCCGCCGCGGCATCACCTGTGAGCAGCCCGACGGGGTCGGACGCGCTGACGATCAAGGCGATGCTCGACGACTCACTGATCGTGCTCGTGCGCGTGACACAGGCGACGCCATTCCTGGAGGTGCGTGAGCGCATCATGGGCAAGTTCGCGAAGCAGGAAGGCGTGCAGCTTCCTGATTCTTTCGTCATCGGGTATGTATCCGCGAGCGAGCGAGGACGCACGATGCATGCGCGTGGCCGGGCGCGCTCGAACTCGACGCCGACGCCGGCCACGAGCGAGGCCCTCCGGATCATCGCGTCTGAGGAGGAGTGGCAGACGGCTGTGGCGGGCTCGTCTGCCGCAAAACTTGTCGTGCGCATCCTCAGGTCAAGATCATGAACTATCATGAGACACCTACGCTCTTTGCTTGCTTGGTTTTTCCCGCTATACATTCTCAATTCACGACCACTCATGACGATGACCGCCTGCACTTTGACCTTTTTAATCCGAGGCGACCTTGGCTACCCCTTCGACCTTCGTGTTAGTATTTTGCTGAGCACTCGTTGTATCTTCGTCTATTGTCTCTCGTTGTGTGTAGGTTAAAGACCGGGACTCTTACCCGGAGGACCTTGCAGATGTCTGTAACAAAAATCTAGATGTGGAAAAGTTGGGCATAAATATCGCTGTTGCCTAAGGTAGCCCACGGCGTACGCGGTACACGTGATATACAGAATTGAATAAGTATGAAAGTATAGACAAAAAGAAAGGTACTGCCCCAGAGAGGCTCGAACTCTCGACCTTCCGATTTTGCTTGCAGTAACAGTCGGACGCTATAGCCAACTAAGCCATGGGGCAGATGGTATTTGCTATTTAATAGGAGACTCAAATCCCTAGATGCACCCAGAGTTATTATAGTGATTATCACCAAGCAACCGAGCGAGGGAGTAGGGCACTCTCAACTACTCTCAAACCAAGTTGAGTCTGTTGTGCCAGCCGTCTGTCAATGACGGAATGTACTGGCGCTAATATGCCATATATGGTAAGAGTCGGCGTACTCGTGGCCGATTGCTGCCTACGACCGCTCGAGGAAGTTCGAGGGTTGCTCGATAATTATTCGAGTGCCGTACAAGGCCTTCAGTTCAGAGATTGGCCCCAAGTATATAGTGCTGCAGTGAAGTTTCTTGAAGACTCATATATCAAGCTGCTTTACATCAGGAATCGCGGTCCCCTTGAATATATGCAAGGGGTCTCACCAATATGTAGTCGTGAGATCATCGTCTCGCGCGAGAGCAATCGAGAGGTCGTGGGATCATGTATGAGGTCGTAGGCTCACAGGTGCTCAAATTTGAGGACACATCTCATGTCGTGAGATGCTATCTCACGCCATATATTTGGTGCATATTGCTGCTCACCCAAGACCATTTGTGAGTTGACAGCCTGCATCGCCGCCACTAGCGCATCCACAACTCAGCTCAGCACGAGCACCGCAGTGTGAAGTCCTTGTATCAGAATAATTGAACTATAAGATGAAGTAGTACATTAGTAATTCACTTCCATTTGCTGCTGCACCACTGCAGACACCAGCCCTTTATGTTATTCTGCCGCTGTTCACCGTAATGTTTACCGCCATTTATATTGGACTCTGATGTGTTCGTCACCTAATACTACTCAAACTTACCTATAAGTGTCTTGCTCGCATCAGGATTCATGAAAAACAGCCACGACAAGCACCACCGGTGCGATGTGGCACTAGCTTCGACTCCACCACAGTCCCATACGAACAAGAGGCTCTTGTCTGAGATGTCAGTCTACCAATCAATGACCCATGAGGCTGGCATCTCACTGTTGCTCATTTTCGAGCTACGCGTCTCACCAAGGCTCATCCCTGAGACATTGTGATCCGATCGCAGATCAAGTCTCATAAGTGACCCTCGTGCTCACTGAGGGTGCCCTATGAGCTCTTTGTCGGGGTCCGGTTTTCCTGATGCACGCAAGACGAGCCCAGAAGTGAGCTTGGTACCGGGCCCATCCAAAGACTGAATCCGTGAGCAACCTCCGGAGCTCACCTTCGCCTCAAGCATATACGATCTTCTACGTCCGCGGCCAATGAGTGCGGCCGAGACGCACTTGTTGGATCTGTAGGATGACAGTACCTGATTGTCTCGCATGTTTTTTATATGCCCTTATTTTCAGCTGTAGTGTGCACATGGACTGAGCTGTCAGCAAATGACATGCCCTCACGTGAGGCAGCAGGCAGCAGCCCGGTGGACTCCGCCTCAATCCGTAGCAGTTGCGACTGTATGCGAGGGAGTGTACTTATTTTGCGGCAAAGTTTGTATTCTCTGTTCGTTAGCGCGTTATACAGTGTTTTCACAGGTACTTCTAACGTATGCATGGTGCGAAAAGTTGTAACAACACTATGAGTAATATCCATACCTTCTGTATTCATACTTAGTCTATGTCCGGTAGTGGCGCAAGCGTCTCCGACTTGTACATCAGGAAAACCGGACCCCGACAAAGAGCTCATAGGGCACCCTCAGTGAGCACGAGGGTCACTTATGAGACTTGATCTGCGATCGGATCACAATGTCTCAGGGATGAGCCTTGGTGAGACGCGTAGCTCGAAAATGAGCAACAGTGAGATGCCAGCCTCATGGGTCATTGATTGGTAGACTGACATCTCAGACAAGAGCCTCTTGTTCGTATGGGACTGTGGTGGAGTTGAAGCTAGTGCCACATCGCACCGGTGGTGCTTGTCGTGGCTGTTTTTCATGAATCCTGATGCGAGCAAGACACTTATAGGTAAGTTTGAGTAGTATTAGGTGACGAACACATCAGAGTCCAATATAAATGGCGGTAAACATTACGGTGAACAGCGGCAGAATAACATAAAGGGCTGGTGTCTGCAGTGGTGCAGCAGCAAATGGAAGTGAATTACTAATGTACTACTTCATCTTATAGTTCAATTATTCTGATACAAGGACTTCACACTGTGGTGCTCGTGCTGAGCTGAGTTGTGGATGCGCTAGTGGCGGCGATGCAGGCTGTCAACTCACAAATGGTCTTGGGTGAGCAGCAATATGCACCAAATATATGGCGTGAGATAGCATCTCACAACATGAGATGTGTCCTCAAATTTGAGCACCTGTGAGCCTACGACCTCATACATGATCCCACGACCTCTCGATTGCTCTCGCGCGAGACGATGATCTCACGACTACATATTGGTGAGACCCCTTGCATATATTCAAGGGGACCGCGATTCCTGATGTGGGCACTCATACCGCGGATCTTCGCGCCGAATTTCCAAAAGGTAAAGACCCTAGGCAGGAACTGGATCAATTGCTAACCCGCCACACCTCTTGACTATGTACGTACGCTGGTGGTCCTACCACTATCGCAAACGCGGCGAGGATAGTGTCGCCAACACCATAACCGAGCGCCGAGTACATAGCGGGTGCGAACAGCGGGAAGCAGAATCCCGCTATTGAACGAAGGAACGAGACAGCTGCTAGTGCTGTGAACTCTCTTGAGTAAGTGTCACTGTCGCAGATCAGGCTGGCATACCAGATGCAGCGTGCGTAGTAAAAGCGTCGATAACGTAGGTTTGCATACCCTGAAATGTCAGGATCATCCCGGCACCCACCAGCGCGAACCCCTGCGCGATGTGCGGATCAGTATGCTGTGACCTGAAAAACATCACAGTGAACATACTATGTCAACGACTATCCAGTGCGTGTGCGTCCCCCATCCAGCCATAAGCAGGCCCGCGGGTACCACGACCGTACCAGGGAACACGGTGACTGACGATGGTGTAAGCCAAACGTTCCGCCAGAAGGTCCACCTAGAGACGTACTCAACCTAAACTCTGGCTGCCCGATGCCACCATTGCGCGCTTTCAAGTGCTTGTACACGCGATCAAGGGCCCTGCCGTTGACTTGGGTAGCAATCACGAGTCCTGCAGGTGCACATTCCAGCCAGATACCGAGAGGGAAGTTGTCAGTATGTGCATACTCACCAATGCCAAGACTTATATAGTTGAGACCGGCAATGCCGACGCGCTCGTGATACACATTCTTGAAGATGGCCGGTATTGTCGTCAGAACCACTGCAATGAAGCAAGCTCAAGCACTTGTTGGCAGTGCATGGAAGCTCGTGCGTACGGTAGATGGTGCCATAAATGAATGCCATATATAACCCGAAGAGTTGTATGATGGGCTCCGTCGCGAACAAGACAAAGGGACGGACGAGAGCTTTCTTCCAGAGCGCTCCTGAGCTGTGTGATTGGTGAGGGCCACTGTGTTGTGATAAATGGGTGTAGCAGCTACTTACTTTGTCGTGAGTGGATGCGTAGTTCGAATCTCGCGTATGGGTCCTTTTTCAGGATCCGTCTCCATCTCCTTCCGGATGCGGTTTGCCTTCTGCTGTAACAGTTTCGGTGCATACGCTGCAGAAACATCGTTCAGATGTGCATTCAGGCGACAATCCCTCTCCACTTACTCTCTTTCAGGAATATCAGCCCCATTACTTGTATAAACATGGCAACAATGCTTGTTGACCAAAATACCCATCGCCAGGTGGATCGCTCGGCAATCCAGCCACCTGCGATTGGGCCTATGACTGGGCCTAGTAGTGGCGCCAAAGAGTAGATAGCAATCGCCTGTCCACGCTGCTCAGGGGTCCACATATCGCTGAGAGCGGCACCACCTGTCTGTGCGAGGGTAAGAATGTGTACGGGGGTCGGACTGGGGATACTCACAGCCAGAGGAGCGCTGCCGCCCAGACCGGCGAGGAAACGGAACGCTATTAGTTGACCCGGGTTTTGCGCGAAACCGCATCCCAGGTTCCACGCTGGTCATGAATTATGAGCTCACTAGTCCACACGACGGGAAATACTTTGAACACCAACCAGTGTACCACAGATTGGCACCACGAAGGACCATGGTCCGACCAAACATTTCACTCATGGGACCAAGAACGAGGGGCCCGACAGCTGGGAGGAACAGAAAGTCCAAGGTGAGTAATGTGGTCTCAGGCAACGACGAGGCGGCGTACCATAGGCCAGGACAAAGACCGAGATAGTCAAGCTAGCTTCAGCGCTACTTGTGATATGGAATTGTTCGGCGATTTGTGCAGCTGCGGGGGCGACCATGGAGGAAGATACGGGGGAGATGAATGTGAAGCCCGAGATGACGAAGGAAGCAGCCCATTTCTTCTTCTTTGTCCAACTGTGAGTGTCCAGTTCAGCTTCTTGTACATCATTGCGCGTCCGGAGCACTGATAGAACGCACTTTTTTGGATTGGCTGGGTCATCGGGGCCATCCCAACCTATGATGAGTGCACCATCGTCTGATTTCGGCCTCTCTTCCTTTTCAGGCGAGGGGTTTCGAACCTTCTCCGGTTCGCTTGGGCTGGTGGTCAGTGTGCCCTCACGGCAGGTGTCCTGTGATCGACGAGCGGGCTCATGCGCTGGTTCAGAGGCCTCAGCGTTCGGAACATCGAGACTAGCCTGCGCTTCACGATGTGTGGAAGCCATTGTGGTGAAGGTGGAAACAGGTTCAGGTACGTACACGCAGATTTATAGAGGCAAAGTCAGGTCGATCGCGTGGTGACTCATTCTAATGCCTCGCGGAGTGTCAAGCACAACCCACTGTGACGTTGCCGACCCTGTTCGTGTGCATCAGCCGTGCATGGACAACGCTCCAGAGGCCCCGTCTGAACCGCGGCATGCACAGCCGTTCGGGTAGTGTCATACAAAGTGAGTAAAGTGCGTTTCCAGTTGCGTCCACGGTCTTCTCGAGGCTCCATAGGACCTCTACCAACCGGGAGGGATGCCTGGTCTTCATCCGAACAAG